CAATGGCAGAGGGGGCTAAAAAGAGAGAGAGGGGGGTAGGTTTGTCATGGTTGATACTGCAATCGAGGTTTGAGACCTCCCTCTTGACCTTGCAACTTACCTCATTGTTGACGAGGGATGAGTCCACAGATGGGTAAGAGGGGTGAGAGGAAGAGCCATCAGAGGAGGACTCGGCCAGGTTGGCTAGGGGAGCCATCCATGGCAGAGGGGGAGGAATAAAGGGGGGGGAAGATTGGGGAGGGGGGTGGGAGAAGGGTCGTTGGGATCATTGATGGCCGAGGGGCATGAAAGGGTTATGGGTGGGGGTTGGGGAATGGGAAAGGGGATGGGGAAGTTGGTTGGGGGGAAGGGGGAGGGGAATCGGCTGAGCCTTCAGGGGGCATATTCTCCAATGGATCACCAAAAACAAAAACTGTTTCCCGAGGGGACACGGGGGGCGGGCAGAGGCTGTGAAGAGCTGACCACACTGTAAAGGCGGTGAGGAAGGTGCGCCGAAATTTCCAAATGTCATAGTAATATAGGGCATTCCAAAAATTTTAACACTTGGCTTAGGCTTAGGCTTAGAACTTGCCACTTGGGCGAGCTGAGTGACTAGGGCAAGTCTAGTCCACTCACTCGAGTCCTACTTGAGACTCCCAAAGATTAAAAAAGATCCAAAAAAGGGCAAAAAAAATAAATATAGGAAAAAAGAAAGAAAGAAATGGTAAAACACATCCAAAGTCTATAAAAGACGGGAAAAAAGGGTTTCAAAGTATAAAAAAAAAAAGATAACTGGTTAAAAATCATTTTCCACGAATCTTGAGAAAAATTAGAACAATAGGAAAATTAGAAAAAATAATAAATAGTTCTACAAAACTAATTATAGATTTATAATTTCTGAGACAAATGTTGGATCAATTATAATTAATTACTGTAAATGAGAGAGGAGAGAGAGGGAGAGGTCTTCTTTTTTGGCTTTTGCTTTAGCATTCTCTTCTTTCATTAGCATTTGCTTTCCTTGTTATCGTATTTTGTTTTTCTCAGTTATAAATTTTGAAGCATAATAGGAAATATATACGTAGAATGTTTGAACATTTCTCTAATGTCGTATTGAACAAACATATGCAGGAGAAGCCGTTATTGATGCTCAGGTCTAACTAACAAGTAGGGGTGACCTCTAAATTGGCCAGGATTTCGTGGGGTTGCATTCTATAGAGAGAAACTGGGAATAGAAAAGAAAAGAAATAAGAAGAAGGGAGAACAAATGGGATTTGGTTTTTTCCCAGTGTAGTACGATGGTAATGCTCCAACTTCTTTGGATCTCTTGATTTTCTTCCTTTTTTTTATTATTTATTTGTGTTTTTCTCATTTTGTGGTTGCATTGTGGATGGAATATGGTGCTTTTTCTTTTCTTTTATTTTTCGGTGTGCACAGTTCTTTCCATATTAGAAAAAAAAGAGGGAAAAAACCAGCTCTTTTGCAGGTGAGCAAACCTTTCCTTCTCTCTCTCTCGCTCTATTTCTCTCTCTCTCTCTCTCTCTCAATGTGTTTTTGACTTGTCGACAATCTCTCTCGCCCTATTTCTCTCTCTCTCTCTCTCAATGTGTTTTTGACTTGTCGACAAATTCTGTAAAGGACACTCACTTTGAGAGCGTGAATGTTTTCACTCGAAGGTATAAAACAAATTCCTCCTTTTGATCTTCAAAGCCATGATATCTTTTCACTTTGGCTTAGCGGCAGAAATCCCAATTTGGAGCCCAAACATGGGTTACCTTTCTTTAGTTCTCTAGGCTTTTTGGGTGAAGGCACGGAACCCTTGGAAGTTTTATATGAGCCAAATAAAGACAAACCAAGGAACCCCCCCCCTCCCCTTCCTTATTTTTGTTTTTTAAATATAAAGAATCATATTTAATTGTTATTGAATAATAAATGAGAAATACCAGTTTCCATTGATGGAGCACCTAGCTAACGCCTTCTAGGTTTTATATTTTCTCATTTTGGTTTTTACTATTTTAAACTTTATCCTAAATATATCTGGGGTCAGCTAAATAAATTTTGCTCTCTCATTCCTCTCTATGAAGGACTATACAGATCATGAGTCATCATTTTTTTTTTCTTACTATTTTCATTCATGTCCTTTTAGAGCTTTTTACTTGAATTAAATTAGCCCTCATAACTTGTGTTGTTATAGAGCTTTTTACTTGAATTAAATTAGCCCTCATAACTTGTGTTGTTATAAGGTGACGCTATACGTAATCATACCACTGAAAGTTATTTTTTCTCATTTTATCACCTATTAGAGTTACCTTTAAGTTTTCACGAATCTATTGATTCTCAATCTATCCTAGTAATTCATCCATTTCAACATCATCATGTCAGCTACATTCTTTTTATAAATTTGTTGTTTTGTTTATCGCACAATTTTCTATTCTATAAAGCATGGGTGGTCTTACAAAATGTCTTATAAAATTTCTCATTGAGATTCGTTGGTATGCGACCATTACATAATATTCTAGAAGCACATTTCCTTTTTGTCCATCCAACTCTAATTTTATAAGCAACATATTTTTTAATGTCTGCGGTCTTAAGGATTATCAACTCAATGTATCGAAAATAATCTCTATTATGTACTTTTTGGTCATCAATGTTAATTAATTCTTTTTGTTCCGCATTATTATTATTAAACTTGCATTTTACATGTTTTGTTTTGGTCTTGTTAATTTTAGAAGCTTAGATTCTAAAATATCTCGAAAGTTCTAACTTTGCGTTTACGTCATCTCTAGTCTCATTAATCAAAACTATATCATTTACAAATAATATATGGACATAGTTTCTATGTGGCCATCATGTATTCTAGAAATGCGGGCTTGGAAAATAGTATATTTTTTAAATATAATTTGAACCTAATTTTTAGAGGATATATAATCTTTAACATGGAGATCATGAATATGAAAAAAATTGAAAACTAAGAATAATAATTATATTAAAAAAACATTTGGACTGTTAGTTACACTTGTTTCTTGATGGACTACCTATTTGCATCCATCTTTAAGTTGAATGTTTTATTTCTTTGGACCGCATATTGTAGCAATGCGGTCCAGCCCGTATGAAACAATTTTTCATTACATATACCGTGGGATTCATCCTGTGCAAACCCAACTATTTTGTCTATCATCGAAGCAAAGAGATATAGGTTCAATGCTGACTTCTGATGTAGACTATTTTTCCACTAGTTGTCCTCACATTAGCTAGTGTTACATGGTACATACCCCTAACCACATCAATATGTTATTATGAGACTTCTTTCTTTTCTAGCACTTGTCTTATTATCTTTTTAGGTATCCTATCTTATGCTTCTCTAAATCAATGAAGAATATATATATGGAAAAGGTTTATATAAGGTTGCAACCAGTGTTTCAAAAATCGTCGATCCGATTCGGAATCAGGCGATCCGGATCGAGTATCGGTTATAATCGATTCAAATGCAGTATCAGTAAAACCGGGCGGTTCCTACTTTCTTATTTTTCAATCCAGTTTTCTTTTTATGAGCTCACCCTGGTTTTTTTACGTGATTGCACGTTATTAACAAATTTTTGCCAGCTTAAAAAGTCTCAACGTACAATACGCACGCTTCACATGGCCAAGACAACATACAACAAACCAACTCGTTGGGTTTTTTTATAGTATTCACTCTTCTCACATCACTTTGATGTGGGATATATATGTGAGTTGAAAAAATGCGGGCAAATATTATTAGCTTGGGATAAATTGCAGTGAGATAGTGTATGCGCGATGGTGTACGCATAACGATGTATGCCCGTCATGAATAAGAAAGTTGTATATCCGATTGTGGCAATGAAATTTGATGATAAAAAAAGAAAAAAATTATTAAAAATAGTAATTAGATGCCCATCACCCCTATCTTTCACCAAAAAAATTTAAATTTACTTAAAAAAAAAACATAAAAACTCTATTAAGCTACTATATTATGGTATTATTTCATTATATGAGTAATAATTAATTAATTAGTTAATTAGGATTAAAAAATTAGTACTAGCTCATAGGATAAAAAAAATAAAAAGTAATACAACAAGCAAAAAAAATGTAGTACATCTTCTTCTTTCGTCAAAAAAAAGAAAAAAGATAATCAACAAGTATCATATTTTTCTTGTTAAAAAAAAAAAAAGATAACACAATAAGTATTTCTTGTCAAAAAAATAAAAGGTATTTCTTAATACAATCTAGGAATAAATGGTCTAATTATATTTTTATTTTTATAACATGATGGTCTTTAACATCAATTTAGTAATATTAATTTAAAGAT